GCAGGCGGCGGCGGGGGGTGCTTAGCGGGCGCCCGGCGGGGGGCCGCTCGGCATGGCCCGGGCCCTGCTGGTGCTGCTGCTGGCCTGCGCCTGGCTGTGCCCGCGGCCGGCGCGGTGCCCGGAGGCCCCGCACACCCCCGACTGGCGGATGACGCTCAAGACCATCCGCAACGGGGTGCATAAGATCGACGTGTACCTCAACGCGGCCCTCGACCTGCTGGGCGGCGAGGACGGGCTCTGCCAGTACAAGTGCAGCGACGGTGAGGCGGGCGGTGGGGGTTTGGGGAGGGCGACCCTTCCTCTCCCTCCTTCCCGCCGCTTCGGGGCTGTGAGGGTGAGGGCGGGCGGCGGCGCTCCCGCCCGTCCCGCTGAGGGGGCCTCCTGCGGGCGGCTTCCCTCAGAGGGGGGCCGGGCGGGCGGCGCGCCGGGAAGGGGGGGTTTCTCGCCCGGTCCTGGAGATCTTGGTGGCCCCCGGCTGGCCGAGGTAGCCCCCGGCTGGCTGAGGTGGCCCCCGGCTGGCTGGGCTGCGGTATTTGTTGAGTCAGGAGCTGGGCTCGGTGGTGGCGCCCTGACCGGGGGCAGCCTGACATTGCCTCTCCGTACCACAACACGCGCTTTTCAAACGCGGTTATTTGTTTGGGGGTTTTTTTATTTTTTTCTTTTTTCTTTTTTCTTATCCATGGCTTTTAATTGCGGCCTGGGTTCGTTTCCGGTAAGTGAAACGAGGTGAAGGGTCATTTTTCAAATTAACTCCACGCCCTTCCTTCACAGGCGATGCGGGACTCCCTGCCTCCCTGCTGGGGGGAGACGTGACCCTACAATCCCTACTAATTTAATTTGGTTCACGTTCCAGTTGTAGAAACAAAAGAGGTGCTTCGTTCCCCTTAATTAAAAGTAAAGCTAAAACAATCAGAGCGCCGCTGTTGCGTATCAAGCACAGAAGTAATAATGAACTTACCCTAAAGTACTCTGTTCTTTAATGTAATACATACTGCACACTTAACTGACACGTACATTTTAATAACTCAAGCTCTTTTTGTCTTTAACTTCGGAAGCTAACATTAACCCTTGCTCATGTGTCTTGTCCCTTTTTTAAAAAAAATACTTAGTACCCTGAAGCTCCGTAATAATTTATGATATTCAGGTGTCTGAATATATGCTGAGGTTAAAAATACAAGTGATACTCTCTTAAGCCCAACAAATGCCCTGGGGAGTCTTGACAGTACTGAAATTCTGTGCAAAAACTCTTATTTGAGGCATGATAAATATGATCAATTACTTTTTTCAGGATCAAAGCCCTTTCCTCGTTATGGATATAAACCTTCACCACCGAATGGTTGTGGATCCCCTTTATTTGGAGTTCAGGTAAGTATTTCCATTTGGGGGCTTCTTTATGTGTCTTTAATGCATCAGCTATCCTCAATGTTGGTGTGGTTTTTTTTCCCTCCCCCATTCTAAGGATGAGACAGCATCCGTGTGCAGTGCCCTTGCTTTTTATCAGCTTCACCACATGGAAAATGCTAGTATTACAAGCATAAACATTTTCATCATTGAAATAAAATATTGTAGGGATAACATAGAATGATGATGATTAATTTCTGATTTTGGGGTTTTTTTGTTTTTTTTTTTTTATGCACATATAAAAACACATGGAAAATGCTAGTATTATAAGCATAAACATTTTCGCCATTGAAAAAAATTATTGTAGGCATAACCTAGAATGATGATGATTAGTTTCTGATTTTGTTTTTTTTTTAATTTGTTCTCACAATCTTGAAAGTGTTGAATAGCACCAGCAGTAGCCCCGTGGGAGTGGAGAGCCTGGCTCTGGCTCTTGCTGTCCTTATTGACACTAACCCATTTTCCTTAAAATAAGAAAGAAAACATGGGTTAGATTATGTACTGGCTCTGGCTGGGACAGAGTTAACTTTCTTCACAGCAGACTGTGTGGTGCTGCTTTTGGGATTTTTAGCTAAAATGGAGTTAGCTTTCTTCACAGCAGACTGCGTGGTGCTGCTTTTGGGATTTTTAGCTAAAACTGTTGATGGTTTTGGCTGTTGCTGAAGGGCGATTGCACAGCTTTGGGACTTCCCCTCTTTTTTTCCCCACTCTGACCATCCGCCACCCCAGAGCATGGGCTGGGGCTGGGTAAGAGAGGACACAGTGGGGACAGCTGACCCGAATTGGCCAAAGGGATTTTCCATATTACAGAGTCACGCTTGAGTAGTGGAAGAAGGGAGGGGTGGTGGGGCAGTGTGTGTGTGTGTTTGGCTTCCGAGGTGGATGTTGCTCCAAGAGTGGCTGGGGATTAAACAGGCTTTATCTCCACCACAAGTTTTCTTGCTCTTGCTCTTCCTGTCCTCTCCTCCGTTCCGCGGAGAGGGGTGAGCAAACAACTCTGTGGGTGCTTGGCCACCGGTGGGGGTCAAACCACCACGGCTTGCTGGAGCTGAACAGCAAAATACAGAAATAAGCAAATGACAGCTGGATTGATTGCGTTAGTTTTTGATTTCTAACTGTTATAGTCTATTCATGTGCTATATCTTTCTTGCTGGAATACCAATGGAGGAGGGGGGGGATTTTCTTCACAGTTTGACATCGGCATCCCTTCGATGACAAAGTGCTGCAATCACCATGACAGATGCTACGATACTTGTGGCAATAAAAAAAATGATTGTGATGAGCAGTTTCAGTCCTGCCTCTCCAAAATTTGCAGAGATGTCCAGAAAACACTTGGAATCTCAGAGAGCGTCCAGGGTGAGTGTGAAAAAGCCTTTCTTTTTTTCAAGTTTAACTAGGCTTGGTAAAGAATATTTGTGCAGCGCAGTAATGCCACTATTTCATAAGCTGGTGCTATTGCTGAAAGATGCCTAGTTCTGTCCTTCTGTCGGGCAGCCCAGACACTTGTAGAGCAGAGAAATGACACAACGTAGAAGAAGAAGAAGTCATTGTGTTAGTGTTTAGTGTTAGAACTGGTGAATATTTGCTCAGTTCTTGTTGAGCTGCCGTTAAAGATAGCAACCTCTGCATAAATTTGGATGCAAAAAGTAAAGCAGCTCTTTCATCTTTCCAAGATTAAGTGTTGTTTCTAACACTGACAACATTCCACATGCAGTGAATTTTCTTGTTCCTCTTGATTGGCGTATGAAAAGTCTTTACTCACAACTTAAATGATTGTGTATTGGTTCAATCTTTCATTTGACAATTTATTTGCTATGCCCAGAGAAGACTGCTTCTTTCTCAAAATCATTCTCAGTTTGCCAGCGTAGTTTCTGTTAGTTTCATATTCCATTCAATGAGTACTTTTAACTGAACTCCTCTCTTTGCTTGCAGCTTGTGAATCAACTGTTCAGCTGTTGTTTGATGCCGTTATACATTTGGGATGCAAGCCATACCTGGATAGCCAGAGAGCTGCGTGCATGTGCCGTTACGAGGATAAGACAGATCTCTGAAAGAAGATACTGAGACCTCATGGTATAAAGTCAAAGACTCAGCTGGAATGAAGCAATATTTGGTTACAAAGCTTCACGCTTTTCAGACAGTAATGTATTAAACACTGATGTGAATATATGGGTTTGAAAGTTGCTATCATATTCTTCCAAGTGTAAAAAAGAGCCAAGTCTTCCTTCTCTTCCCCTTTATGCCAGAAGCTTGGAAACTGAAATTAGTTTCCTTTGGTGGATGTCTGCTCAGGGTATGCTATCAAAAAACACTAGTGCCATTATAAAGTTTAACTCCATGGTGGAGAAATCAGAGCCACAGAAGAGTTGTACTGAATTTTCAGATCATTTTTAATATAGGTCAAATTTTAGGTTTACTAGCAGCGGATACATCAGATAACGCACACAAAATGCTCTTTCCTATTGGATCTATTACAGCCTATTTAATAGCCTGTACTTTCATGCTGCTATTGGTACAGTTGCTTTCAGTTCTCTCTGATGTATCCTGTCCCATGGTTTTGTTTCAAAAAAAAAAAAAACCAACAAACAAAACCCCCTAACCCTTAGCAAGGGTATACGTCTGCACTGCATATTTCTACTTGATTCTGTATCAGCCTTACTTCTGCAGCACTTTTCAGATCAAATATGTTGATTCTTTTAAGGCTCAAACACTAAAATGAACAGTTTGCAACCGAAGGATATACTTTTGATTTGACAAAATGGTGGAATGTAGTTGCTATGTTATTTTTAAAATGAATCAAATGTTTATTTTTCAAATAAAACATTTTGTCTTGTGTATTATATGCATAGAAAGGATATATTGTTCAAAGAAGTTGATTTATATTTGTCTCATGGCACAACTTGGTTACTGTATTCATCTTTGCTTTCATATAGTCCATTCTGATGAAACGTAAAAGAAGGTTTTATTTAAATTTTTATTTCAAATGCCCTCTGTGAGGCTGACAGATATTTGAGCCTGTATTTCTCTCATCTGTTCCCATGACCTCTGTGAGGCTGAGAAACATCTGAGCCTGTACTTCAGTCATCTGTTCCCTCTCTGGCTTCTCTCGCTGAAGTCACCTGATGTCTGAATTATTTGGGGTTTGCTCTCTATACTGATCTTTCATTGCTGACCTCCAGTTGTCAGACCTTGGTTAACTTTTGCATTGGGTCCTCTATCATAAAGATTTTGATTTGCTCTCCTGGTGCCCTGATTCTGCCTTAGAAATCCACAGGAGGAGAGGACTGAAAATTAAAATATTGCATCTGTGAACAGGGAGTAGAAACCACGCTAAAAGCTTGAAATTTACCAGATTCATGCACTATAATGTGATTTCTTCTCTGGAAGTACTTTTATATGTTTGGTTTTTTTCTTTAACTGTTGTTTGTGGTATTTTTGTTTTGTTTTTCACTAGAGCTTACTGTACCTGACACTGAATGTAAGTGCCACAGAGAATAAAGGTTCTGCTAAAGTTCTTTGCCTGTGCTTCATTGTTTCTTCTCAGACTTGTTGAAGTGGCACCACAAGAGAGGTTTTACTGTAGAGTTTTAACAAAACCATGTTTGGAGAACTTCTGGTTCCTTTAAATTTATTTTCTGTCACAGAATGTAAAGAACTCTGAATTACTACTCTGGAATTCGATGGTTTGGACACTAAAAGTCTTTTAGCACTAAAGCAGGGAATGGGAATGGCATTGCTTGCTTAAAATAAAAGAAGTACCACAATGAGCCCAAAACATTATAATTCAACTAGATGGCGGTTGAGTTGCGTAGAAACAAGCTTATATTAGATGCTTAAATGAATGTAGGCAATTTTCACTGTTGGAAGGAGCTGGTTTTTGTTCCCTTCTGTATTGACCTATAATTATACCATGAAAGCCTTCCAGAGTTTCCTTCAAAACATTTCTAAAATTACAAAGAGCTTTAACGTTGCTAGATAGCACAACAACTGACATGGTGAGAGTTCTGCCTGCAAACCAGAGGAAGCATTTGACTTCCAGGGAGTCTTCACTGTGTAAGCTTTTCCTGTACAGTTACCCGCAAACCATACAAAATAACGTTTTACAAGCCACAGCCCCAAGGTGAAGGCTAGCTGTTACCCCCAGGATTAATCATACCATTTAACAACTTAGATATTTTGATGTACATGTAAAAAATGTAATGCTATATTTAGCAGCTCTTGGCATTTGACTCATTTACTGTGTGCTTTTCTGTAGTCAGTAATACTCTTTCAATATTGCAGTGAATTTTTACTTTTTTTTTTTTTTACAAGTAAAGTCTTAATACTCCCTCAGGCTATTTTGCTCTTCTGGGTGATCTGACTGACAGCAGTGTGTCCACAGTCAAACTCCCTTCTTTGAACTATAGTTCTGATGCATCCATAACGCTTTTTCCAAAAACACCCACTTACAGTGGGTGCAGAGTCACTGCAACAATCTGAAACTTTCAAAACATGTACGTGCGTGTATAACAAAAACCTTCACATATGAAAATGAGCTGGAAATGCACACCAGTCAAACGCTACCTGGGGCTTCAAAGATATGATCAAGTTCAGGTGGTGACTCATCTGAACACAGTGGCCGACTTGAGCATGCTGTTATGCTCCAGCAAAACAAAGCAGGGAAGATGTCTGATTGTTTTACCAGGATCTAAGCCAACTGTTGCTCTGAGGAACACAGCTGATACAAGTTCCAACTCTGCTGAACAGAAAACTGTTACAGAGTCCTAGCTTCAGGTTCTGCAGCTGCTGCTTCACGCAGGATTCTTGCAGCCAGCGGGTTTAGGGGCAGCTCTAGTGTGAGCTGAGGTCTGGGATTTGCAGTTTGCAAATAATGAGTCTGCTGGATAAGGGTCTAAATGTTTCATAGCAGAAGACACTAAACGTATTACGTTCTAACTAAAGTGTACACAAAGACAATTTAAACGACAGTTTTATCTTGATTTAGGTGCCTACTGGCAGTCGGAGGATAACAAGTCCAAACAAGGGGAAAACATGCAAAGGCAATCAGAAATACCCATAGCTCCTTCAACCAAAAGGGAGACATCTTATCTAAAAGATTTACTCATTCAAGAAGCCTGTGTAAAAACAGGCCAATCAGACCAGATACAAATACCTAAAATCCCACTCCTGCCTCCTTTTCTGCTTGTAGCAGCGATATCTAAGCGCGTATTCACACTTGAGTTTATCCTAGTGCCCACCTAGAAATAGGCCACATAGAAAATTCAGACCCATCCATGCTACAAATCTGCAAAGCTCTTCTACAGAAGGATTTTTTTTTTGTCACTGGCTTTGGTTTAGAAACTGTTGTTTCTTATGCAACCAATCAAATGAACAGTAAGTGCCATATAATGAAAAGGTTGGGAATATCAGAGTCATGAAATGGTTTAGGTTGGAAGGGAACTTAAAGATCATTGAGCTCCAACCCCCCTGCCCTGGGCAGGGACACCTCCCACCAGACCAGGTTGCTCCAAGCCCCATCCAGCCTGGCCTTGAACCCCTCCAGGGATGGGGCAGCCACAGCTTCTCTGGGCAACCTGTTCCAGTGTCTCACCACCCTCATAGTGATCAATTTCTTCCTGATATCCAATATAAATCTACCCTCTTCCAGTTTGAAGCCATTACCTCTCATCCTATCACTACATGCCCTAAAAAGTCTCTTTCCAGCTCTCCTGTAGGCCCACTTCAGATATTGGCAGGCTGCTACAAAGTCTCCCCAGAGTCTTCTCTTCTCCAGGCTGAACAACGCCAACCCTCTCTGCCTGAAAACAAATATTAACAAATATCCACATTTGCTAAAATACATTGGCACTTTCTTCTAATACCTTAGTGGTTTCGCAATTCTATGATCATCAAAGAGAACTGATCAAAGAACAGAGCGAAGGTGCAAAATTATCTGCATCCAGAGCTCTCAAGGGTTCATACATGGGTGTCCTAATGAAAATCCATATTGATTAACAGCTGTCTTACAGCAGAGGAGAGAGTGTGTGCCTTTAAAGGGGCTTCTAATGCAGATTTGAAAAAAATCTCAATTTAGTCAATGCAGCAGCTTCTCACCACATTAGGTGAGAACTCCGCACAAGGACATGGACCTGTTGAAGCGGGTCTGGAGGAGGGCCACAAAGGTGATCCAAGGACTGAAGCACCTCTCCTATGAAGATAGGCTAAAAGAACTGGGGTTGTTCAGCCTGGAGAAGAGAAGGCTCCAGGAAGACCTTAGAGCAGCCTCCCAAGATCTGAAGGGAGCTACAGGAGGGATGGGGAGGGACTCTTTGCCAGGGAGTTTAGTGATAGGTAATAGGATAGGCAATAGGATGAGGGGCAACAGCTTCCAAGTGGAAGAGGGTAGATTTAGATTAGATCTCAGGAAGAAATTGATCACTATGAGGGTGGTGAGACATTGGAACAGGTGGCCCAGAGAAGCTGTGGCTGCCCCATCCCTGGAGGGTTCAAGGCCAGGCTGGATGGGGCTTGGAGCAACCTGGTCTGGTGGGAGGTGTCCCTGCCCAGGGCAGGGGGGTTGGAGCTCAATGATCTTTAAGTTCCCTTCCAACCCTAACCATTCTATGATTCTGTATTTCAGGATGATGCTTTTGTGTGTGACAGAACGGTTAGCAAAACGCAGTCACTACAGCACCCATCGCGGTGATACCGGTAGCGCACGATCGCCTGGAGAAGTAACAGGGGAGGCTTTAACACATCACCCGGTGGAGTTTCCACCGAGGGCAGCCGGACCCCGCCATCTCCCGAGCTGAGGCACCCGCTGACCCCCCGGGAAGGCCCTACAGCCCCCGCCGCCAGCCGCCCCCCTTGCCCGGAGCCCGGCCGCCCCGGCCACAGGGACCCCGCGGCTCTTCCCCCGTCCTCTCCCGCCCCGTTTCTCACAGAGGAAAGGGTGGTAAAAGCTCTGCCCCCGAGGGGGTGGCCTGGGCCGGGCTGAGGAGGCGGGCCGGCTCCAGGAAGGCACAATTGGGAGCGGAGCAGGAGAAGAAGGAGCCGGTTTACCTCTCTCGGCGGTCATGGCAGGCTCGGAACAGCGGCGGGCGGCAGGTAGGTGGGCGGGCGGCAGGTAATGGCGGCCGCCCCCCCGGCTGAGGGGCGTCGGTTGGTCGTCGCTCTCCGACCGTTAAACGGTCGCCGGCGGTCCCCGGGCCGCCCACCGCGCTCTGGCGACCGGGCTTTCGACCGATCGCCCCCCGCGGGGGAAAAACGGGGTGTCTTTGCAGGGGTTCCCCCTCAGCTGAGCCGCGGCGGAGGCTGGAGGAGCGCTGCCCGGAGGTGGGCAGCGCGGCCTTTGCTTCCCTTCCGAGAAGGAAGGGGAGCGGGCAGAGGCGGCCGAGAGGGGAGAAGGACGGCGGGGAGGCGGCGGCCAACAAGGAAGTCGGTTCCCCTCACTGAGGGGAACGTCCCCCCCGCCATCGCTGCGGGAGGGGAGCGGCGGGGAGCCCGGCCCGGCCTGCGGGGGGGGCAAGGAAACGGGGCGGCTTTGTCAACACAGAAGAAAAAATTCATCAAAAAGAGGGGAAAATGCCATGGCCAGCCGGGGTTCAGGTGCCCAGGAGGGGGTTCAGGTGCCCAGGAGGGAGGGTGATGTGTAGCCTGAGGACAAGAAAGGAGAGAAGCAGCAAACACCTGTGTGGGTTTGGTTCCCGAGGATGTTCTTTGGCTGACATAGTGTTTATTTGTTTTGTTTCTTTTTTGGTGTTTTTGGGGGTTTTTTTCGGTTTTTTTGGTACTATTTGGTTACTTGCACTTTCTAAATGCCGTGCCCTTTGACTCAAACAATAAACCTGTTGATATCGAAAGGGCAACTAAACTGATTAAGGGATTGGAACATCTCCCTGATGAGGAAAGGCTGAGAGAGCTGGGGCTCTTCAGCCTGGAGAAGAGAAGGCTGAAGGGAGACCTTATTAATGCTGACAAGTATCTCAAGGGTGGGTTGAAGGATGATGGAGCTGGACTCTTTTCAGTGGTTCCCAGTGACAGGACGAGGGGCAACGGGCACAAGCTGGAACATGGGAAGTTCCACTCCAATCTGAGGAAGAACTTCTTTGGGGTGAGGGTGGCAGAGCCCTGGAAGAGGCTGCCCAGGGAGGGTGTGGAGTCCCCTTCTCTGGAGATCTTCAAGCCCCACCTGGATGATCCTGAGGGATGTGCTCTGGGCAACCCTGCTTTGGCAGGGGAGTTGGACTGGAGGATCTCTAGAAGGTTCCTTTCAACTCCGACAATTCCGTGATTCCACGATTCAATAAAATGTAGTCAAGGCTGTGGGCTATCAGATCTGGCTGTTATCAGGCCACTGCATGCCTGAACTTTGATTCCCTTGCGACGATCCACCTTCAAAAGATTTAAAACAAGTAAGTAGCCCCGTGGAGGGCAATCGATTTTTAGTTTAAGGAGAGTTACTTGAATGCAGCTGCAACATGACAGTGGCAAGGGAAAGCTAAAGACTAGGAACTGGCTAAATAGGATTAAAAAAACCAGGAAAACCATCTTTCCGTAGTTTCCTTTGGCCCAGGAATTCTGTTCTACCAGTGTCTACATGACACCATTTGCTGTCTAAAAGCTTGTTGACAATCACATTTTTATGGTCTGTTGTTTTCTTCGGGGGTGGATTACCCCCCCTTAAATTGAGGCAAAAGCATCAGCCAGATCTCAAGCGAAAACACAGTGTGAATTTAAGCATACAGATGCAGTCTTAAAGATCCCTGGCTTCATATTATCAGTAAAGCCACAGGAATGGGTATTGTTGCTATCTATGCTCGTTTTTCAGCACTTCTGTCATGAATGTGACCTATGTGTGACGTTTCAAGCAAACTGAAATAGCTTTTTTTTGTGCATGCAGGTTACTAGAGATAACTGTTAGACTTGACACCTGAAAGCACATCAGTATTTGCCAGTGGGAAATTTACATCTTAAGAGCTTGGAAGCATCAATTGTCACTAAGGCGGCTTCCTTTCAGCCACCCTTTCCTGTGTTACATTGTTCAACATAAAAGCTTCTGAAGCCTAGTCTAGATTTCTGCAAGTTTATTCTAATGTCTTTATGAACTTTGCTCTTCGATCCATACATAGCTATGTTAGATTATTTTGCCAAAGGCTTTAATCAGACGTGAAAACCGCATGTGAAAAGGCAGTATTGTATATACGGAATAGTTTGTAAAACAGATGTATAAATGACCCGTCCTCTCTGTTTAATTGCAGGCAATGTCGAGTTGGATAGCCGACCTATATTAACCGCCCCAGGTACAGTATAGCACAAAGTTTCATAATGTGGTAGTTACTCTCCACCGGTAGTAGGAGCTGTGACTTTATAGCCCATTGAGGTGTTTAAGCAAAAGGAATAAATACTTTTGCCTAACCATCTGCAAGTCTTTAGGCCTGTGGGCTCCCAAGACGTGCATGTTCCCACAATGCTACCTTTATGTGCAGTCTGTTGCTGGAGATACTTATGCCTATGTAGTTTAGCTGAAAGAAAGGTATATAACTTACATCTTTTCAGTTGCCATTAACTATATACATACTGTTACACTACCTGCTATGACTCCTGCTGCATCCAGCCTCAAAGAGACGGCTCAGCTTTGCATTAGCAGCATTACTGAAATAAAAGAAACACCAGTTTATTTTTGGATTATGTATGATTGTAACTACTGAGTTAGAGACCCTGTTTCAATAAATGTGGCCAGCTATTCGTTATCTAAAATCATGAATATGTCTGTATTGATACAGATACATAGGCAGCTACAAAACATGCATATCTTGACCACCTAAAACGCAGACTCTTGCAGTCAGAACTTTTAAGAACTGCCTCCAAAGACTGTGGGTGCAGACAAATGCTAAAGAAGGTGTTTAACTGCATGCCTAATTACCTGATGTGTGAATGAGCTTCTGGTTCACATTAACAGCTAAACTTCAAGGCTGGATGCAAAAGTTCAAATTGCTTCTTTTTAATGAATGATTTAGTGACCAAATCATTTTTTGATCTCTCTAACAGATGGAAATCAGAACATCACAGAAGTGGATGCACTTGATATAAGGTAAAGTTCTGATGGCAGTGACAGAGACGGCTCGTGGCAGTGGGGTCAATGCAGGGTTTTCTGATTTTTGTTAAGAATGTGACTGGATAATTCAGCTCAACTCCACCCACACCCTGTTTCAATAAATGCGGCCAGCTATTCGTTATGTAAAATCATGATCTCTGAATATGTCTGTATTGATACAGATACATAGGCAGCTACAAAACATGCATATCTTGACCACCTAAAACGCAGACTCTTGCAGTCAGAACTTTTAAGAACTGCCTCCAAAGACTGTGGGTGCAGACAAATGCTAAAGAAGGTGTTTAACTGCATGCCTAATTACCTGATGTGTGAATGAGCTTCTGGTTCACATTAACAGCTAAACTTCAAGGCTGGATGCAAAAGTTCAAATTGCTTCTTTTTAATGAATGATTTAGTGACCAAATCATTTTTTGATCTCTCTAACAGATGGAAATCAGAACATCACAGAAGTGGATGCACTTGATATAAGGTAAAGTTCTGATGGCAGTGACAGAGACGGCTCGTGGCAGTGGGGTCAATGCAGGGTTTTCTGATTTTTGTTAAGAATGTGACTGGATAATTCAGCTCAACTCCACCCACTTAGAGAACACATCTCTAGTTTTAGCTACAGCACGTGTAGAACCACCCTTCTTACGATGAAGGCATGCAGAAGGGACTCTTAGGAGTGGACTCCTTTTACGTTGGGCAATGTGAAAAGACTGTGGCAAAAATACCACCACAATCTAAGGAACATTTGAGCAGACTAAGTGATAGGGTGTTGCACAGGAATATGTTCCTCTAGAAGAAGGGTAAAAGGGCCACGGGATAGTGATTCCATGAATTTTTCCTGTTCCACCTTAAAACATCATCTAGCCCTGGAGAGGGCAAAGTACCTGCCTGATCACTTCCTTGGCCTCACCCACTCAGTGAATACAGCTGAGCAGAGGAAGAACTATTTAGGGAACCATGTTTTAATGATCATTCCCAGGACCTAGGGGCCTAGCTGTCCAAAATCCCTACTAGCCCTACATCTAGCTGAATCCCAAGGAAGATAAATTGCCAAAATCCAACTCAAGGCTGGATGCAAAAGTTCACATTGTTTCTTTTTATTGAATGATTTAGTGACCAAATCATTTTTTGATCTCTCTAACAGATGGAAATCAGAACATCACAGAAGTGGATGCACTTGATATAAGGTAAAGTTCTGATGGCAGTGACAGAGACGGCTCGTGGCAGTGGGGTCAATGCAGGGTTTTCTGATTTTTGTTAAGAATGTGACTGGATAATTCAGCTCAACTCCACCCACTTAGAGAACACATCTCTAGTTTTAGCTACAGCACGTGTAGAACCACCCTTCTTACGATGAAGGCATGCAGAAGGGACTCTTAGGAGTGGACTCCTTTTACGTTGGGCAATGTGAAAAGACTGTGGCAAAAATACCACCACAATCTAAGGAACATTTGAGCAGACTAAGTGATAGGGTGTTGCACAGGAATATGTTCCTCTAGAAGAAGGGTAAAAGGGCCACGGGATAGTGATTCCATGAATTTTTCCTGTTCCACCTTAAAACATCATCTAGCCCTGGAGAGGGCAAAGTACCTGCCTGATCACTTCCTTGGCCTCACCCACTCAGTGAATACAGCTGAGCAGAGGAAGAACTATTTAGGGAACCATGTTTTAATGATCATTCCCAGGACCTAGGGGCCTAGCTGTCCAAAATCCCTACTAGCCCTACATCTAGCTGAATCCCAAGGAAGATAAATTGCCAAAATCCAAATAAACTCTGGTACACATTAACATTTATCAAGAATGTTTTCCGTCTCTGGCAACAGGCAATCACTCGACCCTGCAGTGCAATACAAAATGAACCATCAAAGAAGGGGAGTTGCATTAATCTTCAATCACGAGCACTTCAATTGGCGTTTGAAGCTGGGATTCAGACGTGGGACTGCTGCAGACAGAGACAATCTGAGCCGCACGTAAGAAACTTGGTTTGTCAAGCTTAAAAAGCTAAACTTCAGGAATCATGGTCAAATAAGCAGTAACCTAAGTCTTACATTTAAGTATAGAACCAAAGGTTTTGCAGACATCAGCACCTATGCAACCTTGGCAAAGAAAGCCATAATAAAAAAACCTGTGAGTCACAGAAACTGCTGGCACAAGTCCTATCATTTCAGTGTGTCCAGACCTCTCTTAGAACAAACTCTGTGAAGTAACATTAGATATTACACCTCAATTTGATGCTAGTTTGAGTTCAAGATCAAGTTTAGTAGGTTTTTTTCATAAATAATGCATAAACATGAATATTCATTCTCTCACAGGGAAAGCAACTGAGTTGATAGCAACTGATGTGTAATTTGAGCAAGATTTTTACTGATACTGATGTGTTTTCACAATAGTTTGACAGGCCTTGGATTTGAAGTCAGAGTTTTTGAAGATCTGCCAGCAGAAGAAGTGCTGCAGACAATTCATGAAGGTAGGAGACTGTACGTTGGTTGTGTCTAACTATTTGTAGCAGAATTTCCAGATATATTTCCTTCCATTCTCTCTGTTTTTCTAACTTAAACTAATATTTGTAAGGTAGTTGTTTATCATGAGAAGGACTTAGGGGTTAGACTTCAGAGAATTTTATTGCAATGTAAGTGAAGCTTCTGTGGAGAGAACTAATGAAGGTGTTAAAAGATGAAAGGAAGTACCTGCAGGTGGGAGGAGTTAGTAACATTTTTTTTACTTGAAGTGGCCCTTATCTTCAGCCATGTTGATCCTTGCACCTTCACATCTCTGCAGTGTTACACAATCTGAAAACAGGGTTCGTTTGACAAAGGACTGATCGGAGATTAAATTATATGATAGAAATGTACAATGTTTGTTAAACCTGAAGATCACTGTGTAGTCGTTTAAACACCACTTGACTATTTCAGCCTCTAAGGATGACCACAGCGATGCCGACTGCTTTATTTGTGTCTTCCTGAGTCATGGTGAGGACGATCACATTTATGCTTTTGATGGCCAAATCAAAATTGAGACAATCACAGACATGTTCAGAGGAGACAAGTGTCAGAGTCTGGTAGGCAAACCGAAGATTTTTATCATTCAGGTAAGGTGTCTGTTTCTGAATTCGGTGGAGTTAGCGCTGACCTATGTCTTCTTGTAATACAGAAGTCCGTTTTCCTGATACAGTCTTTCCACAAGGGAAAGCTTTTGCACCTCTAGGGAAGAAGGTTTGGAAAACTGTTCCTTAAAGGCATTCAAGACAATGATTCTAATTTTTTCTAATAAGAAGTAATTTTATGAAGAGCAACCCAAATTAAGCCCATGTTGGATTGGCTGTTGGTGTGTATTAGTTTTCCTGAAACAGTCTTTCCACAAGGGAAAGTTTTTGCACCTTTAGGAAAGAAGGTTTGGAAAACTGTTCCTTAAAGGCATTCAACACAATGATTCTATTTTTTTTTTTTAAAAAAACCAACCATTTATGTACACAAGTATTAATATTATGATTTTAGCTGTATTTAATAAGAAGTAATTTTATGAAGAGCAACCCAAATTAAGCCCATGTTGGATTGGCTGTTGGTGTGTATTTAATGGCAGAGAAGACAGCACCATTTCTTTTTTTTTGAGAAGGTTGGGTACGAACTCAGCTCAGTTGCTGCTGTTCAGTCCTCACAGCCCTGGGTGAGGCTGAAGAAGGGTATAAAAACTCCTAACCTTCACTGTTACCTTCCAGGCAAGTCCCTTTACTTGATCCTTACAGAAGCTGGTTTTTGTGGGTTTTATGTTTGGTGGTGATGTTTTTTCTGGTTTTCTTTATGGTTTTATTTTGTTTCTTTTCTGTCCATAACCAATACTTGGCATCTCTGCAGAATTTCAAGTATCAATTTATGGGTTTACTGTCTCAGAAATACTGCTTGTGCCAAGTGGTCAAGTAAAGCCACGTAAGGGCATGTAACCTCCTGTTTCACTCCTTGGTTCACAGGATAATGCAGGTTGGAAGGGACCTCAGGAGATCTCTGGCCCAGGCTCCTGTTCAAAGCAGAGTCAGTTACAGAGTCACACCAGGTTATGCAGGGCTTTATCCGTTCTTTCTCCAGATTACAATTAGCAAACTCAAATAAGAACCTATAATTGTAGTATTTCATAGAGCGATTCTAAGAATTACCTTTTTTTTCAAATGAAAGCTTCCTTAGGCACAAGGCTGCTGCAAGAATCAGCACATTGTTAATTCATCTTTCATTAGGATTCATTTAGCTTTGGTTGTTTTTAAACAGGTGCAAAAGATGGAAAAATATTTACATATTTCAATTTTAATTCAGTTTGGAGGAGATGGCTCAGGGGAATGTTATCGATGTTAGAAACGCCTGGTGGGAGGGCGAAAGAAGAAGGAACTAGACTCTTTTCAGTGGTGCCCAGTGACAGGAGAAGAGGCAGCTGGCACAAATTAAAACACAGGAAATTCTATCTCAACAAAGGGAAGGCCTTCAGCAGATTATAATTGTAGTATTTTATAGAGAGATTCTAAGAATTACCTTTTTTTTTTTTTAGATCCTTACAGAAGCTGGTTTTTGTGGGTTTTATGTTTGGTGGTGATGTTTTTTCTGGTTTTCTTTATGGTTTTATTTTGTTTCTTTTCTGTCCATAACCAATACTTGGCATCTCTGCAGAATTTCAAGTATCAATTTATGGGTTTACTGTCTCAGAAATACTGCTTGTGCCAAGTGGTCAAGTAAAGCCACGTAAGGGCATGTAACCTCCTGTTTCACTCCTTGGTTCACAGGATAATGCAGGTTGGAAGGGACCTCAGGAGATCTCTGGCCCAGGCTCCTGTTCAAAGCAGAGTCAGTTACAGAGTCACACCAGGTTATGCAGGGCTTTATCCGTTCTTTCTCCAGATTACAATTAGCAAACTCAAATAAGAACCTATAATTGTAGTATTTCATAGAGCGATTCTAAGAATTACCTTTTTTTTCAAATGAAAGCTTCCTTAGGCACAAGGCTGCTGCAAGAATCAGCACATTGTTAATTCATCTTTCATTAGGATTCATTTAGCTTTGGTTGTTTTTAAACAGGTGCCAAAGATGGAAAAATATTTACATATTTCAATTTTAATTCAGTTTGGAGGAGATGGCTCAGGGGAATGCTATCGATGTTAGAAACGCCTGGTGGGAGGGCGAAAGAAGAAGGAACTAGACTCTTTTCAGTGGTGCCCAGTGACAGGAGAAGAGGCAGCTGGCACAAATTAAAACACAGGAAATTCCATCTCAACAAAGGGAAGCACTTTTTTGCTGTGAGGGTGGTCAAACACTGGAAGAGGTCATCCAGAGAGGCTGTGGAGTCTCCATCTATGAAGATACTTGAAAGCTGACTGGACATAGTCCTGAGCCACCTGCTCTAGCTAACCCTGTTTGAGCCAGTGGGGTTGGACGAGATGATCTCAAGAGGTGCCTTCCAATCTCAGCAATTCTGTGATATCTCAGAGCTGTCACTGGACTTCATCACCAATATTTTAGTTGATAGAGAAGCACATGGGTCTTTCTGCATGCAGACTCGTAATGTACAACACCCACTGAACAGAAGTCCCCTCGGGTTAGGGTCAGAAGTATCGTAGGTGAGCCTGGCAGGGGTGAAAGCATAACAATACCTCTCACCCACAGGCATGTCGTGGTGATAAACATGATGATCCAGTTATTGCTCAGGATTCAACAGACACTAGCGATGGATCCATTGTCAATGAGACTGAAGTGGACGCAGCTGCTGTCTATACCCTCCCTGCTGGTGCAGACTTTATCATGTGCTACTCTGTGGCACAAGGTGAGTTCCTAGTATTTTACACCTCATCTCTAATGCTTCGCTGTTAGAGGTTGAACACTTCTTCATTTGGCAGCCAAAGTAAGAAGCACGGTTCCAGATCATCCGTTTTGCATGTCTCATAAGTGACATCTTGTCTAGGAGAGAGCTTCACGTGTTAAGGAAAAAGTGAAAATAAGCTATCAAGGTTGCAGTTAATTTGCCAAGCAGAAGCATTCTCATCATAATCTTGCTGCTGAGCTGTCTGCTGACAGCAAGCATTCCCATCTTTTCCAGGACTGTAGGATTCTGGTGGCTTATAAACTTGCTTGCACTACGTGGCTGTCCTCTCTAGTCCTCTGTGTTTCTTGTCCTCAGTCCCACCTTCTCTCTTCCAACGTGCAGACACAGTCCTTTAAGCTACCGCTCCCTGAAGCACATTCCTCTTGGCTGAGCACTCTAAGCGACCTCAAAGCCATCTCCCATCTATAATGAAATCACATAATTGGCAAAGTAAGATTTACACCCATTAGTAATCCCTTATGGATGCAGCTGGCGAGCAGTAACTCTCATGGATATTTTTCAAGTGGCATCACTACTTACCTTCGGATATAATTTTATGTTCCTGTTCTACAATAGGTTACTTTTCTCATCGTAACACTGTAGACGGCTCCTGGTACATTCAAGATTTGTGTGAGGTGCTTAGGAAGCACAGCTGTTCCCTGGAGTTCACAGAAATTCTTACTCTCGTTAACAGGAAAGTATCTTGTCGCAGAGTGGATATGTGCCGTGACATTAATGCTATAGGAAAAAAACAGATTCCCTGTTTTGCTTCAATGTTAACTAAAAAATTGTATTTTCACCCAAAATCTAAGTAGATTGGTGCTTAACAATGAGAACACTCACTGCAGAGGTCAAAAACACACCACGTTAGTCCAGGAGACTAATATTCTACAAGACTGTCTGCAAAAACACTGGGATAAAACATGATACTTTGTATACATAATAGTTGCTAAAATCTTACAGCATTTTAAATCTAGTACGACAGCTCTGTTCATCTCAGGGAATTTGGGAAAAGCTGATTGGTGCAAAACTGTTAAGAGGTGCTCAAATTTCACTGAAACCAGTACTCTAGATTAGTATATTTTCTTAAAACTTTTTTACTTGATTGCTAACTATTGCATATTTTACTATCTCCAAAACATTTCAAATGTTGTATTAGATTAGCTTTTCTGGCTCCAAGAGCACAGTTTACAGGACATCTTTTGATGTCTGTGGACAGCAGTATCCCTTACCTTCCAATTTCTGTCAATTTATAGCTTGTTAGACATTTTTTCTTTTCTCTCAACACTAAAAAGGAACTATTAATTCCTTGAGTACAACTGTAGCATTAATATAGATAAAGGGCTTCCTTATGCTTGCACGTCATTTGCAGTTAGGGTGCAATTAAAGCTTGGTGGTGCTTTGCATCCTCAGGAGAAAAGCAAGCGGTGGTGAAAGGAGACCAGGAACAGCTTGCTTGGCGTGGCTTTGGGTCAGTCACCTCCTACACATCTCTGAAGCAAATCATTGCAAGGTTCCAGCTTCACTTACAGCTGCTGGACCTCTCTAGGCAGCTCTGTGCACTGGTTTGGGTACAACATATCAGACCTTCGTACTTCAGGCCTTGGTGTTGGATCAGCCTCTTCCTGAACTCTGGGGGACAGTGGAGAACTCAAGCTGAGAAAAGTGCCTTAATCCACTTTCCTGGGGATAAAAGAATCGGTTTACTGGCTCTGCTTTGGTTAAGTCTTTCCATGTATTATGTTGTGAATCACAGATGTTAAATCTTACTATGGCTACTTTTTTAAGGTTTTTATAAATCATGAATGGATGCATTTGAATGTTTTGATAAATTCTTTCAATAAAATGCAACACCAAAACATAAATGATTTTATGTTGAGTTGGGTATATCTTCCTCTTCCAGCAATATTTACTAAAAAAGCTTCCTTGTAATGCAAGTTTAACCTCCATCCATGGTGTTACATCAAAGCACAGAGCTAAGGCAAGAAAACGAGGAATTTCAGGAAAAACAAAATCCTTAATACTCAATGCAGAAAATGGTTCTATCAGCAGCCTTTGTTCTATAAAATATGCCCATCATTTTAGCAGCAAGCAGAACGACCTCAGTTTTGCTAATGAGATTTGACAACTATCTTGAAGAACTTTGCTTCAGCAGCTTCTTTATAGCATTTAAGAAAACAAACCCGAACCATCAAATGACCAAATCATTTTTGAAGATATTTATTGCAACTTTCAAAACGATAGTGGTCAAAAGAATCCAGTTCCTGACGAGTAACTAAATGTTTGTATCACCTCTAAAAGGGCAATTCCAATATATACAAAACCAAAGTCAGTCCTTGTCCCTGATCTCCTGGATGGGAAGCCTCAGGTGCAGAGGGTGGCGCAGGCGCCTCAGGGATTCTTCTGCCTGCCAGGGCAAGAAAGAGTGAGAGTTCATCCTTCTGCAGCCTCTGTTTGCTCCTCCTCTCTCACACATCCCCTGTCTTTCCTTTCTCAGAAGGCTTTGGTCTTACACAACAAACCAAACTAATCAAATGGGAGATTTCCTGCCCATCTCCAGACCTGCTCAGCCCACCGGAGAGAAGCATGTGCCCTGCCCACCCACCCACACCCCAAAGTATTAGCTTCCTGAAATCACAATTACAGAATTCAATTCAATTTTCTTTAATGAGACATGGAACACAGGCCTGGGGAGATGGAACGGGGCAGTAAGAATTGAGGGGTGGGATCCACTACGTTTTTTTTCATGAAGGTGACAAAGTTTCTCCCAGGCACGCACCTCACCGCCTTTTACAGAACAGGGGTGACTGGATGGAAATCTAAGCCTTTTGCCTGAGGAATAGGATGAAGATGTCAAATGCTGAACTCTGCAAGAGTCTCCTTCCGAGGGAAGGAGAGGATTGTGTTACCCCAGCAGCACAACAAGCTCACTGTCTCCAAAGCAATATACCCTTCTGCTGAAATGGCCAAACCCACAACACATTCCAGTATGCAAAAATGGACAGGTAGGGCTGATAAACTGACTTGTTTGTTTTAAATTACATTCACGAAGGTCTCCCTTTCTGACGACTCACTGAAGTAGTTTATACCTCACTGCAAAGACCGCGTGGTTATTTAAACAGCTCAAACTGGCTGATAAGCACTAAATACGCTGTTTTGAACGTATGGAACAAACCTTGAGGTCAGTTTTCTGTTAGCTGAGAGGTTACTGAAAACGTCTTAACCCAGAAGTGACTTCATTATTTAAGGCCTGTATTTACCTCTGCCAGGTCTTCTTTGAGCTTGTTATATCGTTCCACATTAAAATGCTGTTTTTTGGATTTCCGATAGAAGTAGTGGAGGAACTGCCTGTCTTTGGCGTCGGGGTAAATGTAGTCCTGGTGAAGAAAGCAGGGCACATATTTGGGGTGAGCAAGAAGACTGAGCAGAGGTCAGATGATTATCTGCACAAATGAGTTTTCAATAGAAATTCAGCCTGTTTCAGGAAAATGTATCTAGTTCAACACACACATATGTTCTGTTAAGAGGCCACGTATGAAGTTGTGCCCTTATAAGTTATATAGGGCCTTTTAGACACAGGGTAGGAATCATTTCTATTCCGTCTCAACGAATTTTTAATCATAATAAAAACATAGTGTGATATTTAGGACTTTGCATCACAGAAAGTTTGACATCAGGATGTCCACTTTGGGAGTAAAGTACAGAGCTGAAACAGGAAGAAGACACATTCCTCCAAGTCTTACAGGATCCCAGGACAAGCCTGCATCGTGCAGCTCAGTTAAAGTCTGGATTTTTGTTACTCAGCAAACCTTTTTCTTCTAAACAGTGCCTGTTTGCTGCCCCACTGCAGCTGTCCCACATTTACCCCCAGTCATTTGAAGGCAAGGAAAAGCAATCAGATTATGAAGAACAAAGCAGTAACACTTTTTCAGGCACTAAATTAGGCATATTTCAATAATGCAACCGCCAGATTTCCAAACAGTTTGGCAACCTGAGCCATTTGTAGATAAACTCCAGCAAACAAAAGCTATTTTTTCAATTATTTGCTTCCTGGCCTGCTGTAAGGCAGCAGTCACAAACTGGCACAGACTTCTTCCATCACTTTTCATTCCCTGGGTTAGGAAACCTTACAGTAGCTGTTATGCTCAGCAGCTGGTCTCCAGTTCACACGTAACAGTTCCAGGCTTGACTTTGTGTGGTGGAGTGGTCACATCCAGCCCCACCAGGCATCAAACAAGTCCCTGTCCGATGGCAAGGCTACTCACTGAATGGATTTCCATCAGAGCCCAAACACTGTGACTTTCAGAGTCAGTTATGCTCCTTTACCACACTCCAGACCTTTACAAACCGAGGACTCACCTGTCTAGTAAGGACAAAGTAGGCATAGAAAGCCATGGCGCTCCCGTAAGTGATGAAGTACGTGACGGGCTCCATGATGTCCCAGGAATAGACCCACCAAGTGAGCCAGGCCAGCGCTCCCCCCTGGGTTGACATCAGAGCTAGGCCGACCCATAGGAGCCTGGAGGTCTTTGCATCTGCACTGTCCATGATTCTGGCTTTCATCTAAGGAAAAGAAACAGAGAAACCTGATCAAGCAACCAGGAGTGCAAATGATGAGCGGCTCCTCAACTATGTTTTCTCCTGCGGGGCTAGATCCTTTGTCAGGATCTTTTCCCAACTCCCCTTACAAACTTGTCCTGCAGAGAAAGAAAAGACTGAAAATCCAAGGGCAGCTGGATCTGGCTGTTGTCCCCCAAGAAATCCTGCTTTTAATCCCCCCCTTCCCACTCCTCAGGATTGATGTTTACCTTACCATTTCCATTTACCATTCAAGGCAGCTCTGGTCAACATTGAAGCTGGTCCTCACGAAGCAGGGCTGAAGCCAAGGAAAAGTTTGTCCACTTTGTCGGGCTCTTTCTGCTGCCTCTCCTCACGCTGGGCTGGCTCAGCCTGCCCCAGAGCAACATTCATACCTTTCCTTCTTGGATTATGGCAACCATTAGCCCAAGCAGTTTGCCTTGCTGCCTTGGTGATACAGAAAACCTTAGCCTAAGCCACGGAGTATTTCTACCTCACTATTGATTTCTGGAATGGGTATTTAGAGCTCATACAGCAACGGGTGACTAAATGGACTTTCAATCTCAACACAAGCTCTGCTGAGGCTCCTTCATGACAGCTTTCTCCAGGTGGTGTGCTTTCTACCCAAGGCATATGCATCACAGGAGGGAAAAGAACTGAATTGAAAATAATCTGAATTATATTTGAATTGAGCCTTGTTTACTTAGCAAACAAACCAAGGCACACCCTGGCCATTCATGATGATTTTTTTTCTATCACAGGACTTGATGAAAGGAAATGCCGTTGAGTTTAAAAAAAGAAATCAAAAAAATCTGCAGTTTCTAACCTGTTCAAGAGGGAGAAGCTCTTCTTTAAGATGGTCCAGTTTCTGCAGCAACTCTCTCTCTTTCCTGATCTGGTGATCTTCTAAATGTAGAGCCACGAACAGTCTGTGAACCAAGCACTTGATATCTTCCATTTCAGTAGCGTGCTCATTACTCAGCTTATCTGAAAAGAAAATGTTTGCTATATAAAGCATTTCAGGAACTCGGCCTTCTTAAATTCTCTCCCCACCTCCAACCCCAAAAAGCAGGACCATCCAATGGTTTAAAAAAAGAAAAAAAAAAAAAGAAATTCCTTTCTCCAGACAGGTTCCAGTTTTCTGAGACTTTCCACACCTTTCACTCGATGAAGTGAAATAATGAGAGCTCCTAAGCATCGCTCTTACCTTTTACAGGAGGTGACACACTGTATGCTGCGTTGTTGATAACCAGTTTAAAGTCATTCATCAATAAGACCTCCATCAAGGTGGCATGAGAGACTTTGCTACCATCTGCAGAAGAAAGATTTAAGTTCTAAATAATTTACCATAAGGAATCTTAATCATGAGCTGATAACCCTTTGGCAAAGTGCTAGAATTCTTCATTAATAATGGTTGGAAGGGAATTGTACTTTTAGTAACTCTTGTGACTGATACTAAACAGTAAGGAGGAGCACATCAATGCAGAGTGTGTCCCTGATGCCTTCTCTAGCAGCGGTGTTTGGACTTGTCACTGCCATGAGCAAACTTGCATTTTCTTGTGTTATGACTAGAATTGACCCCTTGGGAAGGGGAGGGCAGAAGAAAAAGAAGTCTGGCATAAAACCCATCCTCACATAAGTTTGCATCTTCATTAGGACAAAGGTTTTTGGGAAATTAAAAGACCTTCAAAGACCTCATCTTCAGTTATAGATTTATGTCTTTCCTTAAACAAGCTCTTCCCATCAAAAGGAGCAATGCTTGTTGGTACCGGTGTTCAGGTTTTGATTAATGGTACTTGAAATCACTCTGTTTCACTCTCAGTTGCAGACTGACCAGTACAAGCCAGACTGTCCAGCACAAGGCAGACCAGGAGCCACAGAGGAATCAGTCCAAACAGCTCTGGAGATCCCTTTTCTACTTTTCTGTTTTACACAAAAATTAACATGAATTCCATCCCATCAGCAACACAGAGAACAGGCTGGGGAAAAAAAAATCACATCTATTTTCAATTGCTTAAGATCAGGGAGAAGGGGGCAACTGTGACATTCCATCAGGAAAGCTAGCTGTTGAAGATTTTATCCTGCTTTTATATTTGTTCCTTCTTTTCATTCCCTCTTGACCATTTTTCTTTGCCAAAGGCCCTTTCACCCAAAATGCAGTATCTGTGTCTGCCTCGGGCTTGGAGAAGGTTCGCCACGGGTGGATGGAGCCCAACTTCAATACATGAAAAGATTCATCCAACAGCAGAGCTGCTCTGCAGCCTTTCTCGGGGCACTCTCAACACAGCAGATCTTGCAAGACTAGTACTCTGCCAACATCTCTGATTTCTTGAACAACAGGAAAAAGAGCTGTATCCAAATGAGAAACTGACCCCTTCCTGTTATATATTCAATGCACAAAGGCAGATTTAATCTAAAAGCTCTGCTGAAATCTACATCTGTTTTGTCCCATCTCTGCTTTTTGTTTCCCTGTTTAAAGGGGCATGAAGTATTGTAAATAACCTATTTTCTTTAGTATCTTACTACTCTGCCTGCCTGCTGGCTTCCATACCTCCATCTCATTTCACTGCCCACCGCACCTCACCGCAGTCAGGAGGCAAAGGAACACATCACATCTCACAGGGAGCTGAAGGCACCAAAAAGGAGCTCCCGGAATCATTAGCAGCAACATGTAATGGAGGATCCTTGGAGCTCTCTCTGGCCCAAGTCCAGCAGATCCCAGAGCCCCCCAGTAAAACCAGCCCCCCCCGGGGGTTCAGATGGCCCAAGAACGCCCCGGAGCCACACACCATTGCTGCTGGTGCACTGCTGTGGTACTGGGGGGCTGTCAAAAGCCACAGAGCAGCTGCTCCACAGAAGCTGTTTGACCCCATCTTCATTTCCTATCCATAAAACCAGCATCCTCCCCTGCCAAGAGGTGGGCAGCGGCAGAACCCAGCAGCTTTACTCCCGAGATTAATAGTGATCGGGCTACAAAATATGAAGATTTTTGTATGTAAATATTTGTCTCAGTGCTACTGCCTCAGCTCCTCCATCTGTCCCCATGTGCCCACCACAGAAAGGCACTGCAGATAACCCCACACCTGCAATTATTTATTCATCAGAGCCCTGTTCTCTAGCCCCATCTGCTTAAACTCCTGAACTCCACCAGCTAAAGCACCAGCTGGCTCCCCGGCTCTGTGTGGGTAGCAAAGCAAACCTGGAAGGGTTATCACTTTCAATCCCAAATCTGAAATTTTAATGTGCCCATGCATTCATTCCCTTTTTTTTTTTTTCCTTTTTTCTTGCCTTTTTTTAACAGTGTAATAGAACATCAAAGCTCATTTGCATCTAAATTATTAAGGTGACATTTATAAAGTGACATTTAAGCAAAAAATGCTTTTCAAAAGAAATGCCAGACAGGCTCTTTGTTCTGGATGTGATACAACACCATTTTATTAACCTGTCCAGCATTTCACTAACTGAAAAGCAGAAAAGTTTGGGGTAGGGTGGGTAGAGTTGTTTTATTTTAGAAACTTCCCCACAGGCATTCAGCAAAAGGCTATTTTCCTTCTTATAGCTAAGCACAGGTGTTCAAATGTGGACCAAGGGCCATCTTTTTGGTCTATAGAATCACAGAATGGTTTGGGTTGGAAGGGACCTTAAAGATCATTGAGTTCCAACCCCCCTGCCCTGGGCAGGGACACCTCCCACCAGACAGGACTAAAATCAAATCTACAGAAAATGAAAGTGAGTCATCATATACAGCACTAATGCTTTCAATTAAGGTTGGGTTTCATTTAATGGCTAAATGATACAGAAGTGTCTGCACTAAATCAAGGCTTCATAATTTTTCTTTAATAATACATGTTTGAATTCAACTCTCGGTACTTGACCAATAGTTTCTCTTTACAGTATCAGATTCCTAATAAATTAAACATCTGAGCTGTTCTCTACTATTACAATTGCCTGGCACTTGAAAAATTAAGAGTAGAGAACTGTAACAGTCATTGTTTTAATCAAAGCAGACACTGTTTCTATTCCAACATCGGGCAGTGGCAGGGGTGATCAAATAGAGGAGACAAATGAGGTGAAAACAGCCCAAATGCCTTTCCACTGCTGCCTGTCCTGGCCAAAAATCCCAGACTTGCAGGTTTCTTACAGAAATTATCTTCTGCTTCACAAGTGACCGACATCTGCACCGAAGCAGAAGGAGCAGTGTGCATAAAGCTTTGGCTGACAGAGCACAGAAGAATGGGATTCAGCAGTGAATCACAAATACCTCTGTCAGGGATGTCTCTGCACAGATAGCAGTACTCAGACTGTAACCATTTGCTGGCACATCTTGGTTAAAGAATCCTTTTTAGGGAAAACTTCCATGTTGAGGGGAAGGGCAGCTTCTGACAACGATGATTTCTCACAGTGAAGATACAAGAGTTTCTTACAGAATTATCTTTTTCAAGAGAGTTCTCTACCTTTCTTCTTTTGCGTGTTACAGGATGGAAAATAAATCTTTCTATAGGGATGTAGCTATGCCTTTTTAACTTTTCTTTCATTTTAGGGGGGTGAGGGAAGAAATGGATGCTTTTAGTTAGCCAAATTCAAGTACCTGTTCTACCAGACTCAGCCAAGAGAGCTACATCTCTTCTGCTTTTGAGACAGAGTCCTCCTCTAAGAGCAAGACTTAGGACAATGGGACAAACAGTTTGTTACAAGGAAGAAAGACCACATCAACACTAACGGGTAAGTACAGCTTTTTCCTTTCAATCCAAGGGCTCCGAAGTATTACTCTCTAGCTCATTAATTAAACTTGAGCAAAGTCTCAAAAAGCTGCCCTTTATTATTGAAGTATTATTCTCTAGCTCATTATTAAACTTCAGCAAAGTCTCAAAAAGCTGCCCTTTATTATTGCACACATTATCTCATTGCTTAGTTCTTAATAGGTTTTCCATGAGTTGAAGTTTGTAGTAGGGCAAATAGATTCTTCTAGCTCCAGGTAACACAGACCAACTGGCAGACATCACGTTCAAGAGCCCAACTGGTTGCCTTTAAGAATGATCACAGAGGATAAGGAAAGAAAAAGATACCAAGGAAACCAGAAGAGAGACACCTATTTAAAGGCAGCATGACAAAGGAAAGCTACCTGAAAAAGCTAACAGAGAACACTACTCCCATTTAAGGGTGGTTACAGTAATATGTCCAATTCTGCTTGTTAATCAGCCTTTTCAAGAGCACTCAGGTATTAAATCTGAAACCCCAATAACCCCCAGAAGCATTCAAGAACCACCCCAACAGTAACAATGCTAAACCTGATGGAGCACTCTGCTCCTGTGCTTCAGGAAAGTAGGACACCCCATTTGGAAAGGAATGTATTCGTTTTGAGGAATGACAAGAAACGTAAGGTACCTGTTGCAAAGACTTCTGCCTTCTCGATTCCTTTATCTTCTCTCTGCACGTCCCGCAGGAACGCCCCCACGGTGGTAACCACTGGCTTAACGGTGAACCGGCAGCGCTCCCGTCGTGTGGGCAGCGTAAGAGTTATCACAGGAAGACCATGTCTGTAATTAATAGTCACTTCTGCGGGGAAAAAAAAAAAAAAAAAAAGGGGAAAATATTGGACATTTCAGTTTAATTTTAAAGCACGGGATGAAGAAAGAAAACCACACGATGCATTCTAGATTTCTTTAACGAGAGAACATATAGAACGTAGATCTATATGGGACGTATAGATACATACATACATGTAACACAGGACTTCTAAATTATTAAGGTGACATTTATAAAGTGACATTTAAGCAAAAAATGCTTTTCAAAAGAAATGCCAGACAGGCTCTTTGTTCTGGATGTGATACAACACCATTTTATTAACCTGTCCAGCATTTCACTAACTGAAAAGCAGAAAAGTTTGGGGTAGGGTGGGTAGAGTTGTTTTATTTTAGAAACTTCCCCACAGGCATTCAGCAAAAGGCTATTTTCCTTCTTATAGCTAAGCACAGGTGTTCAAATGTGGACCAAGGGCCATCTTTTTGGTCTATAGAATCACAGAATGGTTTGGGTTGGAAGGGACCTTAAAGATCATTGAGTTCCAACCCCCCTGCCCTGGGCAGGGACACCTCCCACCAGACAGGACTAAAATCAAATCTACAGAAAATGAAAGTGAGTCATCATATACAGCACTAATGCTTTCAATTAAGGTTGGGTTTCATTTAATGGCTAAATGATACAGAAGTGTCTGCACTAAATCAAGGCTTCATAATTTTTCTTTAATAATACATGTTTGAATTCAACTCTCGGTACTTGACCAATAGTTTCTCTTTACAGTATCAGATTCCTAATAAATTAAACATCTGAGCTGTTCTCTACTATTACAATTGCCTGGCACTTGAAAAATTAAGAGTAGAGAACTGTAACAGTCATTGTTTTAATCAAAGCAGACACTGTTTCTATTCCAACATCGGGCAGTGGCAGGGGTGATCAAATAGAGGAGACAAATGAGGTGAAAACAGCCCAAATGCCTTTCCACTGCTGCCTGTCCTGGCCAAAAATCCCAGACTTGCAGGTTTCTTACAGAAATTATCTTCTGCTTCACAAGTGACCGACATCTGCACCGAAGCAGAAGGAGCAGTGTGCATAAAGCTTTGGCTGACAGAGCACAGAAGAATGGGATTCAGCAGTGAATCACAAATACCTCTGTCAGGGATGTCTCTGCACAGATAGCAGTACTCAGACTGTAACCATTTGCTGGCACATCTTGGTTAAAGAATCCTTTTTAGGGAAAACTTCCATGTTGAGGGGAAGGGCAGCTTCTGACAACGATGATTTCTCACAGTGAAGATACAAGAGTTTCTTACAGAATTATCTTTTTCAAGAGAGTTCTCTACCTTTCTTCTTTTGCGTGTTACAGGATGGAAAATAAATCTTTCTATAGGGATGTAGCTATGCCTTTTTAATGTTTCTTTCATTTTAGGGGGGTGAGGGAAGAAATTGATGCTTTTAGTTAGCCAAATTCAAGTACCTGTTCTACCAGACTCAGCCAAGAGAGCTACATCTCTTCTGCTTTTGAGACAGAGTCCTCCTCTAAGAGCAAGACTTAGGACAATGGGACAAACAGTTTGTTACAAGGAAGAAAGACCACATCAACACTAACGGGTAAGTACAGCTTTTTCCTTTCAATCCAAGGGCTCTGAAGTATTATTCTCTAGCTCATTATTAAACTTCAGCAAAGTCTCAAAAAGCTGCCCTTTATTATTGCACACATTATCTCATTGCTTAGTTCTTAATAGGTTTTCCATGAGTTGAAGTTTGTAGTAGGGCAAATAGATTCTTCTAGCTCCAGGTAACACAGACCAACTGGCAGACATCACGTTCAAGAGCCCAACTGGTTGCCTTTAAGAATGATCACAGAGGATAAGGAAAGAAAAAGATACCAAGGAAACCAGAAGAGAGACACCTATTTAAAGGCAGCATGACAAAGGAAAGCTACCTGAAAAAGCTAACAGAGAACACTACTCCCATTTAAGGGTGGTTACAGTAATATGTCCAATTCTGCTTGTTAATCAGCCTTTTCAAGAGCACTCAGGTATTAAATCTGAAACCCCAATAACCCCCAGAAGCATTCAAGAACCACCCCAACAGTAACAATGCTAAACCTGATGGAGCACTCTGCTCCTGTGCTTCAGGAAAGTAGGACACCCCATTTGGAAAGGAATGTATTCGTTTTGAGGAATGACAAGAAACGTAAGGTACCTGTTGCAAAGACTTCTGCCTTCTCGATTCCTTTATCTTCTCTCTGCACGTCCCGCAGGAACGCCCCCACGGTGGTAACCACTGGCTTAACGGTGAACCGGCAGCGCTCCCGTCGTGTGGGCAGCGTAAGAGTTATCACAGGAAGACCATGTCTGTAATTAATAGTCACTTCTGCGGGGAAAAAAAAAAAAAAAAGGTGAAAATATTGTACATTTCAGTTTAATTTTAAAGCACGGGATGAAGAAAGAAAACCACACGATGCATTCTAGATTTCTTTATTGAGAGAACATATAGAATGTATATCTATATGGGATGTATAGATATATACATACATGTAACACGCGACTAATGTCATCTCACCCACCCTCCACACAAAATAAATGCAAATCTGGCAGTTTTTGGCGGAAGGGGACAAACCTGCTGTGCCACTTACCGTCAGATGGCACCAGTGTGCTGCAGGGGGCTGCTCCTTCCCAGCCCTGCCAGGCTCCAGCACGGCTCCGCACCTGCAGCACGGACACAGGAAGCTGCTTTAGAAAGGGTAGGAGACAAAGAGGCTTTTTCTGGTCAAAAGCAGTGCCCAAAAGCCTGTCAGAGCGATCTGCTTCTGCATGACGTGACAGCAGAGGTCCCAATATCCGTGTAAAAGATGGAACCATCCTTACAGAAAGCACAAACGTCACCAAAGGTATTGAGGTGTCGCCCACAGTTAAAACTTTTTGTCTAGCCTGGTTTAAATAACTCAAGGAAAAAGGAGAAAGGGGAGGAAAGAAAGGAAAAGAAAAAAAAACAACTACTGTTTCTGAAGTGCTTCAAGCTGCTCTTAGAATAAACCCTTTCCTCTCCCCCAAAAACCAGCTGCTTGAGAAGATCTCTACGTGGTGGTGCCCGAAGGCAGAAGTGTTCTGCAGCAGTTCACTGAAACTTCAAACTGGGCATGGTTCCAGTGAAGCCTTTTACTGCTGAATCATAAACAGAATGGCACTCTTAATCCCAAATAAAATACGTGTGACTGAGGTCACTCCCTTTGGCTTCGTAATTCCATGCTGGAAGTAAACTGTTGACATTCATGGTGTTAAAACACAGGAACAACACAGCCTGCCAAAGTACGGAAGAATTTTTATTGTTTAACTATGAACAGCTGTTTCAACTCCAGCTGAGATGCACCACCAGCCCCTGGTACCACCGCCAAGGTGCGATAGGCATTCCCTGTGTCCTAGGACAGTGATGACAGCAGGTTTTTGAACTGGCATGGTTGCAGGTCCCAAAGGGGGAAGGGGAAGGCACCCAAGCCAGTCCCTTCCAGGGACATTAGTGAGAACCATCAAGACGCTTCAAGACGGCCACATCAAAACAGAGAAGACAAACTGCTCCGATTAGACCCGTGCACTTAACGCAGTCCAGCCACGCTGTGGAAGATGCCACTGCTCCCACACAAAAGTTCTCCGCTTCTACAGCCAGTAGCCCTGCCAAAGGAGCAGAATTTTATTGGAACAACAACTGCAAAGCAGGTGTTACTGCTGGAAACTAAGTGTAAGAGGCAGAAGTAAGAAGGGAAATCACATCCCTGGCTAAGCTGGTTACAAGGATTCTGCATGGGCTGGACCAAGGAATGAAAGGTTTTGAAATATGGTAGCTGGAGGAAGTAGAAAACAATGCACTCTTGAGACCCCACCTGGAGCACTGTGTCCAGCTCTGGAGTCCTCAACAGAGACAACAGGACATGGACCTGTTGGAATGGGTCCAGAGGAGGGCCACGAAGATGATCAGAGGGATGGAGCACCTCTGCTGTGAAATCAGGCTGAGAGAGCTGGGGTTGTTCAGCCTGGAGAAGGGTCCAGGGAGACCTTACAGCAGCCTTCCAATATCTGAAGGGGGCTACAGGAGAGCTGGGGAGGGACCCTTTGTCAGGGAGTGCAGTGACAGGACAAGGGGTAAGGGTTTTAAGTTGGAAGAGGGGAGATTTAGATTTGATACCAGAAAGAAATTCTTTCCTGTGAGGGTGGTGAGACACTGGAACAGGTTGCCCAGAGAAGTTGTGGCTGCCCCATCCCTGGAGGGGTTCAAGGCCAGGCTGGATGGGGCTTGGAGCAACCTGGTCTGGTGGGAGGTGTCCCTGCCCAGGGCAGGGGGTTGGAACTCGATGACCTTTAAGGTCTCTTCCAACTCTAACCATTGTATGATTCTGATAATTGTGATAAAAATAATCCAATATATTCCATTAAAAAATAGCAGTTGGTGTAAAACAAAAAACATCTACCCAGTTTAAAGAAGTATTAAGGGTACCTCCTGTCTCTAACAGCAGACGAGTTGCCACTGTTGAAGTCAGAGGGCAAATTTCAACGATAGGGTTTGCTTTAGGGACTAATGTAGCAGCACAACTTATCTGGAAAACTAAGCAGCCAGACGTGGGGGGTGGGAGAGACAGGAACAGCAACACTGCATTTTGCACTTCAGAGAGTGGCAACCCACTGAACGCCCCATTTTCTGGAGTTAGCAGTTCCAAATAAACAATCTCTTATCACGTTGAGTGACTGTGGCTACAAACTTAAGCTCAAATTTATGTGTGGCCAGTTACGTGTAAGGAATTGGTGTCACCATCAGTATATGAGGTGGCACGGAAGCCTCTAATCTTCCTCAGCAGTCCTGGTCCAACACCTTCCAGATATATTTGCATATATATGCAAATAGAACCCATCAGGAACCATAACTTCTGCTCTGTGGAAAATTGCGATGTGGGTGGGAAGGGAGAGAGCAAGAAAGAAAAATATTTTTCTCAGGAGAAACTGACCTTGAAAAAGGAATTCTACAAAAAGATGTCATTAGGAGACCTGAGGCACAGAATTACTGTGTTTAAGACTTGGTTGATTTATTTCATTTTGACTTGCCATACCAAAATGTGCAAAAAAAAAAAAAAAAAAACTGAGTCAAAACACAGCTAGCCAAAACTGACATATTTGAAAATGTTCTGTCTTCACTTATATACACTTCAGGAGATTTGATAGCTTTGGTTTGTTATTTCAACAGCAAAAATAACGTAATGCTCCTTTGACAATTGAGTCCCCATTAATTTGCGTTTATTAGCAGAAAGCTGTTCATCCCAACCAAAAACCAGAGTCAGCTCAACTCCATCTGCCTGCTTCCTGAAGTGCCCTGCAATACTCCAACTGAAGTATTCCATTCCTCCAGCGTGAGCTGTCGATAAAGCCTCAAGTCAAACTCATAAGCAGCCTCCACAAAAAATTATTACCGCAGACCGTTACCATGATGAGTGATACCATCTCCCAGATCCTCATTTCCTTCTCTCTAAGGCAATGATAAGAATCTGAAATAGAAAAGCACAATAATAAAAGGCACTACGCCACTAAGCGTAAGCTTTCTACCCTTGATTACACTGCAGCAAAACACACTCTTAATTAAAACGTATCTTGCAGCGTGCTTTTCAATAGTAATATAGCGTTACGGTCGTTCCCTCGGCAGAAGAGGAGAGCTCAGTTACCTCCTGGAATCCTGGTCCAACTACAGGTCCCTCCACACAGCTGCTGGAGGAGGACCAGGGGAAAGGAACAGAGGGAGAAAAATCATGGGGAAAACTAGCAGTTACAATGCCTAAAAATGATTTTTGGGGCCTTTCAGAATTCTAAGTGCCACTCGATGAGCCAACACCCCCAGTACGCATCGGTCTCCCCACGAGCTGATCCTGCCCAGCCTGTGAAGGAGAGGGCAAGACAAGAGGCTGCTTCTTTGGCTAGAGAAGGAGGAAAACGATGGCAGGTAAGTGTTAGCCACTGTTCAGTGAGGGCATGTACTAAAAATAGCTATTTCTGTTTTCCATATTGACTTCCATACGTTTTGCCATCTCTCATAAACACACCTAGAAGTTCTCCACATATGAATGGCGTCAGCTCCAGTCTAATTCTCCAAGGGAAACAAAGGGAGCGATCGACTAATTATGGAGCAACAATCTGCAATTTCAGAATAAACTATCTACAGATATTTCAGAAAGGCTTAAAACCAAGGGAAGGGAGAAAAACAGCAAGTGCTGTCACAGTCTGCTGAGTTTGGAAATCTTGCACAACCAAGATTACCAAAAAGGAATCAGTATTCAGATCAAGTTCACAATAACCACACAGAAGGTATTTCCCTTTTTAAAATGAGTCACCAAGGCCATTTTGGAGATATCTGCTGTTAAATTCTTGTGCTGTTTTTATAACCAATCCCACATGATTGGGAAAATAAGACATCAGGAGCCCCAACAGCCGCCTACAACCATCTTACAAGCGCCCATTTGCGCTACAGAAACACCTTCTCTCTCATTAACATTTCAGTAATTTGTCTTTCCTTACACCGAAAGGATTTTCATTGTTTCTCCACTGGTTCTAGAACTGATTTAGACGATGATGCAGCAACAGCCTCAGCACAAACACCAGCTTCAAGGCCCATTGCTCAGATTTAGCAACATCCTCTGGAAGCACAACTTAAATTAAACAAATACTCTCCCCCTAACAGACACATCACTCATTCTGCCATAATACCCCTAAGTCTAGTAACAGTTTCAGCCAGGGAACATAATTTTGACACTTGGGAGCATTCAGGATACAACTTCTCTTTCCTAGAGAGAGGAAAAAAATAAATAAAAAGATGAGAGATTTTCTTACTCTCCTGAGACAGTTTTCCCATCTCAATATAACCCATGTGGTGAACATCTTCTCCCAGCTGCTCCACAGGGCACTACAAGAGCTGCTGTACATTTCAACCCTGTAGCTTATTCAGAATCCACAGTATTTTTAACCCCTTCCTAAGTAGAAATCAAAGTTTTAAAAAGTAACTAAGAGGTCTCTTGCAGCATAGTAGTAGTTTCAACTTGAATACGCACGTTCTGGTGATCTTGAAGAAGCAAAAGCAATATAGCATTCATGTTGCTTTCCTTCAAAAAACTCACTTGTGTTACAGCAATGGAAAAAAAATAATTAAAAAAAGCTTGGTTTCATGTGCCTGTTGTTCTTTGTGCCTTTATCATCCCTGATGATCTTTCATTTCCTGCCTCTGCTCAGGTTCCAAGAAGAGCTGGAACTAGATTTAAGCAGCCGGACAAACTCTACCGATGACCAAAGTGACAGCTGTGATGAGAAGTGCATCAAGACCACCAGCCACCAACAACCCCTTTTCTGAAGGCCCAGCTGGTCAACTCCACCACTGCAGCGGCGCTTCACCAGGGAGACCTTCCACCCAGGCTCTGCTGAGCAAGCACACATCCTCCACTTGGCATCTTCTCTTCTCCTTCTTCTTCTTCTTCTCTTCTCTTTCTCTTCTCTGACACCTTGCCCTCCTCTCCCCAAAAGCGTGATTTCAGTAACAGTGACCCCTCACTGCAAAGAAGCAACCCCAGAAAGTGCTGAGGAGACGAAAAGGGTGAACACCAGCTGACACATTCTGCCTGCGGTGTCTTCTGGGCACTACTCTGAAGGTACAGGTCATCCTTGCTTTTCAGAGCCAGCAGACTTCCAAACAAGCATAAAGACAGGCCTAAAACCCAAGATGATTAAGCAGGCCCAGTGCATTGTTAGGAGGAACACCAAGAATTGTGTCTTATTATTTTATTAAACCTTCTTCTCCTTCCCTTCCTACAACGAGAAGCAGATCTAAAATCCCCTCTAAGGTTTTACAGTATTGGAAATCTTCACATCTTCATCTGGTTTCAATAAAGTCTAGTTGTCTGAAAGCTGGTGTTCTTCCCAACCTACTTTATTTTCAGAACAGAAGATGGGATGCAACACCGAGGAGGAAATCTGCAAATCGAAGAGGGGTAAGACTTTGAGAGGGTGGCATTACAGCGTGAAAATGTATTTTCCCTTTATCAAAAGCAAAAGCAAGCCTACATTCAAGAGCTGTGCCATCTGTTCCCCAGCAACAGTTTGGTTAAAAGATTAATTTGTCAGCACAGGCAGGAATTTATCTCTGCTCTCGTGCAGTGCCTCCTAGGACAGGCATCCTGACCTGGGAACTGTTGCAAAATTTTACTTTCCCAGTAACAATAGTGATTTTGCTTTCAAAAATATGCTTCTAGTATATCTTGTTAGATAAGAAAATGAGATTGCTGTATCTTTTCCTACATACGTCTTAGGCTGAGTGTATCTTAACGTTTGCAGCTGCTTTCGTGTCTCTCAAAAAAACCCTCTTAAACACATCTCTAGGAATAAGTCATTCTTCAAATTGCCAGCCAAGAAAAAGCTTGTTTAAATTTCAGCTGAAATGAGGTAACAGAAGAGAGATATGGATGCAAAGTCAGATGAATGCAATTAAAGCTTTGCTAAAGCTACAGACAACTCCACAACTCTCAATCTCCTTTTACAGAGCTTTTCAGACAGAAAGCACTGAGCAGGTTTGTAGCACAAAGAAAAAAGATGGTGCAACTCAGGAAACAGAACTGGTTGTCAACATTTGCATTTAGAATGGACACTTTTATTTACAATATAAATAACCCTACCCCCCAACACAAACCCCATTTTTTTTATTCACCTACAAGAGTGCACTTCTGTTAATTTTTATGAGTGTTGTTTTCCCAGGATTTTCTTTACTCAGCTGTGCAGATTTCAAATGCCTTCAGGCATTTACAGCGTGGCTAATAAAGAAAAGAGTGCTTGAGAAATCTGATTGACTCGGGGCTTGAAATTAGTATCTGACAAGATGCGTGCAAAAAGGTCAGTCAGAATTATCAGCAGTGGGGAAAATTCCCAGTGATGGCTCTCACCTGACTTTTCAGCAAGTTTTTTAGCAGGTAACACTCTGCAGATCCATTCCATCAAACAGACTTTGGAAAGGGAACCAGCTGCATGGCTGCTGAAACACAACAGGCAGGGAAAGCTGGCTCCTCTCCACAGCACCCGCTCCATTCCCCACTTAGTCATCCCTCCAGCAAATCGTTTCCTCCTCTACCCCACAGAGTGCATTTCTCACCTGGTCCCCTCTCAGACCTCCCTAGGGTCTGACCACAAGCCATGAGGAACCCCAATACCCTGCAAAATCAAAGCAACCATCTCCCTTGTTCCATTGCCCCACCTTCGCCCCCAAAAAACCAACCTCAGCTGCACTGTTCTTACATAGTAGTAGTAAATTTTCATGGAATCATAGAATGGTTGCAGTTGGAAGGGACCTTACAGATCATCAAGTTCAACCCCCCTGCCCTGGGCAGGGACACCTCCCACCAGACCAGGTTGCTCCAAGCCCCATCCAGCCTGGCCTTGAACCCCTCCAGGGATGGGGCAGCCACAGCTTCTCTGGGCAACCTGTTCCAGTGTCTCACCACCCTACACCCTAATTTTGCTACCTCTTGAAGAGCGTTTCCCCCCAGCTAGCAATTTCTGCTACCCAAACACCATCACCCCAAGAGCAGTAGTTTTTTTGGCAACGTAGACTGTGAGCTGCAGATTCACAGCCACCGGTCAGCCCTCTGGGCCCAGCTTTGAAATCAGCAAAGCACTTTCCCTTTCATTTCCCTTTCCCCTTTCCCCCTCAAACACTCCCCTGGTCACCTTAGTGCAGAGGATGCCGTCCCAGCAAGAAAACAGACCAAGAAATCCTGCACTTGACTTCAGCCAGACATGGAGGATTCATTCCATTTGCCCACTCCTACTGAGCAAGCAGGCTTTGCAATTAAATAATTATTATTTAGAGGGGCAGGAAAACATAAGGGATCAAATTTAAGGCACCAGAGGACAATAATAGAGAGGAGGTACTTAGTCTTATGTCCATGTCTGGCTCAGTCCCAGGATAATTTAGAGCAAATCTAGCTCCAATTATCTGAATGTTGCACTATTAGAGGGGTTTCTCCTTTTTCTCCTGCCACAACATTTCCAGGAATGATTTGTCTATATAATTATTTTAGCACAGCAGACCATAAAGAGATGTTTTTATAAACATCTCCATATCTCTGTTACTCCCCTTTTTATTTTTTTTTAAAAGGCCTGCAGTTATACCAGCCCAAACACTTAGGAACTGGTGTTTTGTGCAGGCAGCTGTAACAGGTACTTTTCCTCAAGGAAATAACATATTTCTTTTGGTTGCTAAAAAAAAACCACAGTAGGAACAGAAGAACTAACAGATTAGATGAAATTGAAAGTCTGTCTCTGTTAGCAGTTGGTATTAGTATGTCGATACAATGACTTATATCCATATAACAGACAGTTATAGAGTAATTCCCAAAAGGAATTTAGGAGTTAGTTTATAATCCAGCTTTACACACTATTACACTCCTGTGGATGCTCAAATTACTTGCAGGGAGTGCAAAATATATATTTTTAGCCCTGTCACAAAGTAACCAAAGAAAACAAAGGCATAAACAGACAAGTAAACAGAGAAGGCTAATCCTTTCCCTTTCCGTAGCTTCTGATGAACAACACTTAAAAAAATCTCCAGGGCAGATACTAGAAGAACATCCATAGCCAGTAACCAACAGCGAACTTCAGATCACAATTTAATACCAACTTCAACAGGTTTTGTCAGCAACTGCAGAGCTGACAGCAGGAAAATAAAAAATAAATTAAAACAAAACCAAACCAAAACAAAACAAAAAAAACAAATAAAACCCCCAAAAACCAGCCAAACCACAACAGACCAAAGCAAAGAAAGTAAACCCCCAAAAACCAACCAAACCACAACAGACCAAAGCAAAGAAAGTAAACATTTCTAAGCAACAAGATCAAAAGGGCCACCACAAACACATCCACACCCATGTGTTTAAGAGCTCCCGGCCATTGCGCCCACTTCACAGAAGATGGAGGTTTAGCAACATTGTGGTAGCAACACTTTGCTTGAGAAGACAACTGTGGTCAAAGCCCTTTATCAGAGGTCTACCTAAATGTTTTTAAAACCACGAAGTCTCATCTGAGTAGGCAAGCTTACAACCAGCTAATTGTTTTCTTGGAAAAGCGCTTTGCTGAGAGAAGTAGCTTCCAAAACATTCCTGCTAAAAGGGTACCCCATTGCAGAGATGGCATGAAATTCCAACCGCTGTTCTGGCATGAAATTCCAACACTAGATACAGCGTGCAGAGGCCTCCTTAACCCAAGAGTTCAGCAAAGGTCCTGATAGGCACGTCCTGGCACCTTATGACTTTTGTCTAAGGGCGCATCACTCTCAAATACTCGTGGCCGGAGGTCTCAAACATTGCTATGGCCCAAAGAGAAACACCAAGGTGTTGCCAGACCTCAACAACATTTTTGCTTTATTTTCTATTTTTCCTTTGGAGGTTTATCTTCTCCCATTGCTGTTCAAGAAGCTGTTTTTATCCAAAACCATCAAATGGCTGTGGCTTTGCTGATGCTGCCCACTTCCACGTTTCAGCTGTTAATATCAGTGGTTTTCAAACGTATCTCAGCTGAAATAGTGACTCGGTGTACTCATTTGCAACATTCCGTATCAAATCCAGCAGTCTGATTTCCAACAGGATAAAAGTACAAGGCATACAGACCCTGATGATATTTGGCAACCAACAACCAGTACTGGCTGCGACACACTGAGCTACCACCCTGCTCCTCAGCCTTAACTCTGTACAAGCCTGTACATTTATACCTTTCGCAGGCAAAGCTAACAGAAAAAAGCTGAAGATTTCATGTAGATGTTTCTAACGGCTTTTTCTAAAGCTTATTATCATGAGAAAAACAATTAAAACCAGTAGAAGAAGATGAAAGGCTCCGTATGCCCCGGATGGTCCAGCATCTGTGTTTCCATGAGCCCGCTGTGCCTCCCCGGGGGGGCTGGCAAACCTGCATGTTGGCTGCTCACTTTTCACCCCAAAGCCTTTGAACTCCAGCCAATTAAGAGCTGTTCTATTTCCCCTTCCTCTATCAATTCACTTAGGACCTGTATTTGAAAGACTGATGCCACAAACAGAACAAGAACCTGCATTCTCCAAGAGCAGGGTTTACCGTGTGTTTTTAGGAACCCCTTTTAACGCTAAGGCAAACAAGAATTTAATGCCACGCAGAACAAGCAGTAATACTTAAAAGCCCCAGAGTAACATCAACATAAGGCAGATGTAGTCACCTGGCCTTCCAACACAAGGAGACTGCTATAATGCAACGATTGTAAAGCAGAAGCTCTTACCCAGCTCTCAACTTTGGGACACGTTTAAATGAAGCTGCCACCAATGAATCAGAATCTCACAGAATCTTCATGATTGGAAGGGATCTTTGAGATCATCAAGTCCAACCATACACAAAAAAAAAAAAAACCAAGCAAAAAACCACGCAACACCAAACAGAAAACAAAACACCCAACCCAACAATCTTGGGCACTAAAGCGTGCCTTGAAGTGCCATCTCTACACGTTTCTTAAATCCCTCCAGGGATGGTGACTCCACCACCTCCCTGGGCAGGCCCTTCCAGTGCCTGACCACCCTCTCAGTGAAGTAATTCTTCCTCAGATCTAATCTAAACCTCCCCTGCCCCAACTTCAGACCATTTCCTCTGCTCCTGGCATCATTCCCTTGGGAGAAGAGGCCAACCCCCACCTCTCTACACCCTCCTGTCAGGGAGTTGTAGAGGGCAATGAGGTCTCCCCTCAGCCTCCTCTTCTCCAAACTCAACATGCCCAGTTCCCTCAGCCTCTCCTCATAGGACTTGTTCTCCAGACCCCTCACCAGCTTGGTGGCTCTCCCCCAGAGCGAGGACTCCGTCTACAGAGTGCCCTACATCAGGTTGCCACATTCACACCTGTACTCCAGAACAAGCCCCAACACTGACCTAGAAAATGAATGTGGTCACTCTATTCACTCCACCCTCAACACGCACCCCAATCCATACAGGAATTCTATGTCAAGTCAAATTTCAAATAACGTATAATAATTATTACGGCTTTGTCATACTTGTTAGTGCCTTACT